TTTTAATTACATTTGTCCTGACGTTTGGCATCTTTTATGTGTCACCAGCATACTAAGGCCAGGCTGAAATGATTTTATAGTACCAACTCTAACTCACGAGGTCACATGATCATCGGTTAATCTGGATCTTTGCGAATGTTTAAATAATTCCAGTAATGCAAAAAAAGTTACTTTTATCATTTCATGTATAGATCAGTAAAAAAAACAAATGACAGATTTTTTCGACAAGACATTTCGCGCCACATTGCGTGGCATAGGATTGCTTGAATTATTATTGATATTGATTTTTAGTAACTAAGTCGTTGTATAATTATATTAATATACAAACACATGGAAATTTTCTGTTCGAAGTTGCTCTTCGAATTTGTCATATTGACTGCTGAGCTTAGTGTGTTTTTTCATTGTACTGATGGAAATATGACAAATTAAACAGAATTCTATTTTGCTTCAGAATTTTGTGAAATGCAGAAATATTGCAACTCCCATTTTCTTCGAAAATGCCACCTTCTCCATGTACTTGCGTTTAATTTATTCACTCAAGTGTTTTATTCAAGTATTCTTTTGCTAGCTTGATGTGTACACAAAATTTAATGTTAATTCATTGCTCAATCGTCATTCTGCAATTGAACCCCCTATCGCCAAAAAACTCAATCAGATCTCGCACGGCAATTTTTTTTTCAACAAGCAATTAATCACATTCACCTATGGCTCCTAAAGAGCAAAAATAATTGCGATATTGTGTCAAAAAAGCTGTTGAACAAAGAACACATATTACACCACACTGTAAAAGTGTTGATTACCAATGGTTAATCGTGTTGCGCAATCTGTGACGTCAGTCTCGTTTCTTTTTAGCCACACCTCGTATTCTTAATTGGGTCAAAATGTGAACAAAAAAAAAATAATTTTTTAAAACTACTTTCAGTAAATTGTTTTCTGTGTAAATCAATTTTACTTTAAAAGGTTTGAAAAATCTATTACATTTAGATAAAAAAAACTTCCAAAATACTATTACAATTATTGTTAGGCGTTCGAGGGCCGCACTGGAAGTTCTCTGGGGCCGCGAGTTTGACATCCCTGGTCTAGATCAAAGTTGGCCAAAATATATAACAGTATTTTATCGTGAATCATGATTATACCCTTTCCTGAATTTCTTCTATAGTACTACTAAAAGTTGATGAACCAAATATAACACAGGTGTAGTGAGTGACCCGTAATCCTCATTTTCCAAAGCTGTTTTAAGTATGTCTGGCGTGTTTTGTGCCATTTTACAAATAAGACCGCTTATGGAATCTTACGCTTTGGAATTTTTAGTTATTTTCCTCAAGCACTGCAGGATATGGGAGCCATACACAACTCTACCGGAGGGTCAAATGTCTTTGCATGCCTCCATAGGTTGTTCTTCTATTGCAAACATTTATGGAGTACTCTAAATATATTTCTTGGAATCACACTGTCAATGATATGTCGCCAGACTTCTGATATCTCCCCTCTGCTACAGTTGTCCTGTGAATAAATAATAGGAAATTGAGGTTAGACGAATAGTTGAAAGTTTTGCTGTATGTCGGCTTAATTTCTTGATTGATATACTTACTATTTTTGCTATTGCTTCTTGTGCTGCAGGAGTCTCACAATGCTTAGACAGGTTTGTCCACAACTTTCACATCTGAAGGAGATTTACTAATTTTCGTTAAGAATAAATAAAGCAGTCTATATGATTTAGAATGGAAAAGCTAATGAATCCAATATCTCATGTTTTATGTAAAAAATGTTTTACTGAATTTGGTATATAAACCAACTAATAAAAGGGTCTAGTCAGAAAATTACAAGCATTCGTGGCTCCAAATACTTGAGGGATCAGACTATACAATATCGTCCGGTATGAGTGAATGTTAGATGAACTTGTTAACTCTTTGATTCAATACGCAAATAAAAGTGAATGAGCAATAGTATGTTACAGCAATGAGTATATATCATCACTGATTAAATAAAAATCTAAATGGAGGTGCATGAACAATTTGAAACCATAAGGGGTAAGTAAATATGCAATTTCGGCAAATGGGCAACTACGTACCGTACTGAATTAATAACTTCGTAGTATTTGACAAAAGCTGGCTTTCCCACATGTACTTAACAGTGCGATGCCCGGGTGTGATATACAACAATAGTATTTACCTTACCTTTTTCCAATTTCTTTTTACCTCAACTTTCCAAAATATCATTAAAATCGACAACAGCTGTCAAAGCAGGCACGAACACCATTTGTGCTATGCCTTGAAAGCAGCACACATCCGCTCGTTTTCGTCTCGTCAAGTATGTGCATTGGAGCGTGCTATCAGATACGATCTTCGGCCAAAAATGACGGAGTTGCGCATCATGTTGTTTAATGTCATTGGTGAGACGGTGGGGTCCTCTCTTATCTTAATTTTTATAATCTCATTGATGGTTTGCCATGTGCGTTTGACATCTCCTCTGTTGTTGGCTAGAATATTATGGTAGCCCTGCTGTTTCGATTTCCTTAGCAAGTGTGTTTAAATATTCTTGTATTTTTTGAAGTAATGAAGCTGTGATGCGTTGCCATTCAGCAACATTTTTCTGAACATGGTGTTTTTGTGTTTGATGGACTTACGAATTCCCCTGGTTGTCCAGGACTTGGAATACAATTTATTTTCTCTGCGTGACAGAGGGCGTAATGGTGCATGCTTATTTATCAACCACTTAAAATGGCTAGCAAAGAGGTCAAATGAGCTATTAAAATTTTCTTTGTATAACATAACACTGGCATAATTTCTACACATCATCTCAACTTCCAATCTGAATGTGTAGGCAGAAAAATTTGCCATGTCACGCTTCATGCGTGTTTTGGTTTGGACTTGAGCACTAGTTGTTGATAAAGAACACATAATAGAAAAATGATCGGTGAGATCACTAATAATATTAAATGATGATGAGCATGAATTTACGGTGTTGGTGTAAATGTGATCTATTAAGGTGTGGGAGGATGAAGTAACTCTTGTTGGTCTAGTGATGATTGGGAATACAAAATTGGACATGAGCATATCCAAGTATTTGGAGGTCGGAGTATCGAGGGTGTTGTGGAGGTATATATTAAAGTCAACCAAAATTAAGAATTGCTGTTTGACTAATGTCAGCTTTTTGAATACAGAAGACATCGCTCCAGTGAAGGATTGAATATTGCGCTGAGGATGCTTATAAATAACACCGATAACAAGGCTTTGGGATTTTGGATTTTGTCCAGAGCATTTCAACTCGATCCACATGTTCTCACAGTTTTCAAAAACTAAGTCAAATTTTTGCGTTATTTGAAAATTCATGTCGTTTTTAATATAGAACCCCACACCACCTGCTTGAGTAAATGCTTGTAAATGTCCAGTGTGCATCAAACCGATGTTGGAGGACTCCAAATTCTTTAAGTTTCTTGCTCAATTATGAAGATCTTTTGAGGGTAACGATGCAATAATGACTAAAGCTGAAAAATTTGTTTGTTCATTGTACGGAGAGGATATGAAGATTGTGAATGTTTTGAGTGCAAATCACCAAGCAGGAATTCATCACTGTAACCTAAAAGCAAAGGCAAATATTCCCCCACCCATTGGCCATGGATGGGTTCTCGATGATTGTGTTTTGCGGGTCAAATTAATGAATTTACTTCCAGCCCCCAATTCAGTTATTGCGTTGGCAAACTGCAGGTGTAAGTAAAATAGGTGTCAAAATAATTTAAGCACGTGAGCCGAAAACAACCTGAATTGCACAGAATTCTGTTTTGTATCGGCTGGAAAAACTACAGTACACTTGTAGAGGAAAAGTTAATTTTCGAGAGTGAGGATTTCGGAGGCAATTCAGAGGAAAGTGAATTAGATATTGTAGTTAATTGGATAAATTTATTCATTAGTTTTTAATAGACATCCGTTAGGGTCGAAAGTCCTGTTTCTATAAATAATACTGCATTTGTTTTAAATACACAACCACGTAAACTGAAGAAAGATTGATTGTAATATTTTCGTTCACTGTGTTATATACATACTGTATTTATTCAATTTTCTTGACTTTTTCGTGTGAAGTTCCCAGTGAGAAATACTCGATTTATTTGTGTTGTTATGCTCAAGATGTTAATTTGCGACTTCATTGCATAAAAATGAATGAGTTTGCTAGCTTTTATAAAATAAATGCAACTTCATATGCTGTTCTTTGTTGTAAACTGCTTATCTATGGAAGTCTGATTTTGGTCAGACGAAACGTTCCAGAAATACATTTTTGTTATTGTGCAGCAGGAATCTTGAACTGCATAGTTTTTATGCTGTGTTGTTGTACACCTGTGGTTATTGATTTTCCGGAGAATCCCCTGATGTCCAATTTTCGCTTTGGGTTGTTTTAGTGCTCACGGTGTTAATTTGCGACTTTGACACATAAAAATTGATAAGTTCTATAAAATGAATGCAACTGTTTATTCTGTGTCGTTGTAAACCTATGGTTATTGATATTTGGAGAATTTCCTTATATCCATTTTTGCATTAGAATTTTTGAAACATGTTTTGTAGAAAATGTGCAACTTTCGTTAGTGGGAACAAGCTGTAATGCATTCAGCTAAAGAAAGTATATAGTTACCAAATGTGCGCTACGAAACTCATTTTCTAGTTTTTTTCAGGGCCTCGTAATCAGTAATCAGTAGTTTATTTTTTCACCACACATGAAATACACTAAATGCATACAGAATGTAAAAGGAAGCAAAAACGGATAATTCGAGGTGAAAGGAGTCGCGAAAACCAAAATTGGTTATCGAGCGGCGACACCTGAGCCAAAGTCTAATAAATGAATCATAAAACAATGAAAAAAGTCAAACAATGAATAAAAGAATATAAAGAAGTGAAAAATCGAGACGACCTGAATCCAAGAGACGCTCGAAATACAGAAAAGCAAAACCGAAAACGACTCCAAGCACATATGTGCGAGTAACTATGGAAACGGCAGCAGGAATGCAGTACAGTGCGATGACGGGATACCGAACTGATATCGCAGCGTTATGGAATTGATAGTTATTTAAACAGATTTTAAATATATCCCGGTAGGGATATTATGCCGATAACACGGCGTAATCATAGTTATAAATGTTTGCCAAGAGTTCGAATAAGATTGCATGAAGATTGCAAGTGCTGGGGTAAGTCGAATCGTCATTAATACATTACAGATAAAAATTATTCTAATCTCTGAAAAACAGGCTAACTCAACAAAGTAGATGGGGATAACAATAAATAGCGTTGTAAATTAGAACAGATGGATGAAATAACCACTGCAGCACTGAGTATCAACAGTGCTATATATATATAAATTTCGAAAATGCAACAAAACACAATAATAATAAAGTGGTAAATATGATAGCTTTTTACAAAAATATATAGGAGATAGTTATTAAATTGTATTTGATGAGAGACCAATATCAAGGATCATGAGTGTAGAACTGTTGAAAGATACTGCTAACACTATACGATTAGGCTATGAGCAAAATTGAATTACCATTGTATGACATATGGCCATACAGTATAATATAGTGCAGAGCATGCACTATGGAAGTAGATGATAATAAAGAAGCAACTTAAATATTTACATGAAACATTCAGATTCACTTATTACAGGTGCTGTCGACTCTGGGAGGTTGTGGACCTAGTCAAGCATTCTGCTGGCAGTGCCAAGGGAAAGTCAGTAAGCACATCAAACAGATGTGCTGGAGAAAGACAGGTAGGATGAAAGCATGAATTTTTTATATTTTATTTTGAAAGTAGCATATGTGGAGTTACGTAAACTTTGGGGAATGTTATTCCAAATTATTACTCCTTTGTATTTCGGGGAATTTTGAGATTTGCTCAGCGAAAAGCGAGGTACAAAAAGATTGGATTTGGTCGAAGAGCGTGTGTTGTGTTCATGCACAGAGGTAAGCGAAACAAAATAATTGTCGAACGCTGTGGGCAAGTAATTCTTCTGAAATTGGTGCATAACTTTGGCAATCTCTAGAGTATAGATGTCGGATAGTTTCAACACCCTGGTTTTATGGTAAAGGGTGTTTAAGTTTGTACGAATAGACGCTCTGGAGAGAGTTCTAACAGCTTTATTCTGTAAAACCTCCAATTTGTGAATGTTGGTTTGTGTTGCAGAGCCCCATGCAGTTATAGCATATTGGATGTGGGATTGAAAAAGAGCAAAATAAATGGTTCGCAGGGTAGCATCCTGCACATAATGCCTAAGTTTTCCCAAAATCCCAACAGACCTTGACAATTTCTTGTGCATCTCGGTAATATGAGTGTTCCATTTTAAGTTACTATCTATATAGAGCCCGAGATATTTAAAGGATTGAACAACTTCCAAAGCAACCCCCCTGATTTTGATTAACATGTTGGAATGTTTTTTAATTGATTTAGGACTGAATAGCATGACTTTAGATTTTTTACGTTCACAGTGAGTTTGTTGCATAACATCCACTCAATTATTTTATCTATTTCAGTGTTCATAGTATTTTGGAGCGTGGTTGAATCTTTGGCACTGGAAAGCAAGCAAGCGTCATCGGCGAAGAGTTTTGTTAAAAGATTCGAACAGTTCGACAAATCATTTATGAAAAGTAAGAAAGCCAATGGTCCAATGACCGAACCTTGGACAATTCCACAGTGGATGGGCAACATCGGAGACCTATGACATCCTACTTCAACAAACTGTGATCGACCACTCAGGTAATTACATAATAGTTTGCATGCGTTACCTCTAAAACCACAGTGTATCAACTTTTGGACAAGAATTTGATGATCAACTGTGTCAAAGGCCTTCTTTAGATTCAGGAATGCACAACAGACAGACTCCCCTTTATCAATTTTTTCATAGATAAATGAAGTAAGATCTAGGATGGCATGGGAAGTCGAGTGATTGGATTGAAATCCGAATTGGCATTTGTCGATCAGATTGAATTTGTTACAGAAGTTGAGCATTCTTTTATAGACTAATTTTTCCAGGACGATGCCAATACAGGGTAGAATTGAAATTGGCCTATAATTTGAAGGATTATTTTTGTTGCCACTTTTGAAGATGGGTATTACCCTAGCAATCTTCAGAGCGGAGGGAAAAATTTCTGCATGGGCATGCTTATTGATTAACCACTTGAAGTGACTAAGAAAAGTATCAAATGAGCTATTGAAGTTTACTTCAGATAATATAACACTAGTATAATTATTACACATTGACTCAACTTCTAGCCTGAACGAGTCAGCACAAAATTTAGTCATGTCCCGTTTCATGCGAGTGTTTGTTTTAACGTTACTATTAGTTGCTGGTATTGTGCACATTATGGGAAAGTGGTCGGTGAGATCACTGAGCAAAATAAATGACGAAGTGCGGGAATCTATGATATTAGTGTAGATGTGGTCAATTAATGTATGGGAGGTTGAGGTCACTCTGGTTGGTTTGGTGATAAGTGGACATATGAAATTGGACATTAGCATATCCAGATACTTGGTAGTAGGATTGTCACAAGAATTAAAAAGATTTATATTAAAGTTGCCAAATATAATAAATTGCTTTTTAGCCATCGCCAGCTTCTCAAATAAACAAGACATTGCTGTGGTGAATGATGGGATATTATTTTTTGGATGTCTATATATTACACCGACAAGATTTTGAATTTGAAATATTTGAGTTCGATCCACTCCTCACAGTTTGGGAGGCAAAGGCTGAAGTCAGTGCATAAATGAAAGTTTAGATTGTCCCTAATATAAAAACCAACACCGCCTGCGCGAGTAGAGGAGGGAGCATGAATGAAAGTGTAACCAGAGATATCAATATTGACAACAGCAGTTTCACTCATGATCCTAGTCTCGCTTAGAGCAATAATTTGAGGTGGAATACAAAAATTTGAAATTAGCTCAACTAGATTATCGGCATAAGATCTGATGTTATGGTGCAATATAATAAAGTCTGTTGCTAGAAAACTTGAAGTTACTCTATTGATATTGGATATTTCGAGGTATCGACTTGCAATAGAAGGAATTTCGGGATGAAAATTGATTGATTCCCAGGTAGGATAAGAATCACTCATAGATGAGGAATGCTAATGGGTTCGAATTAGATAACATTAGGTTGGTTGAGGCGAGGGGGGCAAAGTCATTAGATAGGCTATTCCAATGGGGACTGAAGTTATTTAAACCAATAACATGATAGAATAATTTACTAGGATATGGCAGTAAAATATTAAATAGACTCATCTTATTTTATCAAGATCTTCATCTTCAGTTATGGATAAAGTGTTAGTGTCTTTGTTCTTTTTTATCAGCACTTTGCCATTTGATGTCCATAGGAAGGCGTAACCACATTGTCTTTTGAGAATTTTCGCTTTGCAAAATAAGTTCTTGTTTTTGTCGGTCAAATTCTCAACAACAAATGCTTTAGATAGGTTCCTTATGGATGTTGAATTGGTAGCGGTTTTGATCAAGTGACGATATTTGAGAATTTTAGCTCTGATTTAGCGATTGGTAAATTTTGCGACAATCGGTTTCTGGATGTTGGAATTTCGCGTTGGACAACGATGTGTTACAGAGATGTCAGATGGTTTGATGTCCACGTGGATGATCTTTCCAATTTCTGTTATCAATTTGTCGGTGTCCTCATTTTCATTAGGTGCGATGCCATGAAATTCTAGATTATCCAATCTAGATCGGCGCTCTTGTTCCTCAATTTTTTCTGTGGCATAGTATAATTCGTCCTCCAAGTCATAGACCAACTCTTCTAGATCTCTTATTTTTTTGCCATAGAGCATAAGTTTGTCATCTGTTATTTTTTGCTTGGCAATAATCTCATCATATTTTGTTGATTGAAAACTTTGAGATTCTTTAATAGAAGCTAGATCTTGTTTTATTTCTTTTAGAGACACCATTTGGTCCTCCATACATTCTTTTAGCCCAGGACTCATGGGCAGGTATTCAGAGGTGAAGTTCGCGGAGTTGAAGTTTTCGGCAAGGCATTTGGCAATTAAAGATGGTAATTGGTCTACTATATTTCTTTGTATTGCCTCTTGGAGATTCCTCTGGAAGTTAGCTTGCCCCTCCTGTTGTTGCGTTAAGGGGCCAATTGGTGAAAGGCCAGGATCCGGGAGACTCCTGGTCAGGCATTGCTTGGGCTGCGAAGCCATGTTGTTATAGATGATTGACTTATATGCTGGAATTGATGTTGAAGTACACAGTGATGATTCAGTTAGACTATTCTGCTAGTTTTAGGTTAGTTTTTAAAACCTGTAGATCTTAAACGGAGAATAATGTCGTCACTTTTTTGTGTCGTGATCTCATCCAACGTTGGATTTTGGCGAGTTCATGTCTCGAACAAATCAAGTGTTTTGTAAGATTTATTGTAAAAATACATCAACATTATGCCCTATACCGTAAATATATACTACTACTAGATGTCCAACTCCGCTCGCCGTATAATAAACAAACAAAGGCGATGTTGCACCTCCAAGTGGCGGGCGTCACGGTTGGTTTTATTCAGACAAGATGCTTAACGACGACGACGCTCCTGCACCACAGCTCGAAAACTAGCCCTGTTCATTGATGACTGATCGAAATATTTGCTGAAGGACGAAGAAATTTGATAAAAATGAACAAATAATTGTGAAAATGAAGACACAGTCTGTCTTGCAAATGACCAGGATGATGTGACAACTTCCTTGTCGAAAGAAAGCAAGGCATCAAAAATGCGATGCATTGCAAAAAATGTCAGTCAGATGTAGGTAAAGTGGTGACGAAAATGAATACTTTTGCACTTTATATTAAAAAAAAACGATTAGTAGCACAACATTTTGGTCTCACTCCATCTCAAGTATTGTAGCTTTCGCAGAAGTTTTTTCTCCACTTGTCCTATAATCAGGGCTGCCATAACGTCCTTATTTTTAGAATTTGTCTTTATTTTGAAGGTCTTTGTTTTAGGAAATATTTTTGTCCTTTATTCTAAGAAACATCTTTATTTTGGCGTGTGTACTTATTTTTAACCTTATATGAATATACCAGTGAATTAAACTTTGAATTCAGTTTAGATCTAGAACTTCATAAGAAATAATGTGAGTTAACGTAAAAAATTTGCGTGATGATTATGAGAAAGAATTCAACGGCGTGATTTGCGCACTGCAGCTTTTGTGAATGTGACAACAATCTGGAATGCATATGTAGAGCAGCAATTTCTGTTAATAATGCAACCCAGAAACACAAGGCTCTGCTCAAGAAATTAATCAAACGAATCTATAATTTACTTTTTTAAGAGTCAATGATTATACAAAGGCTATCTCAACACAAGTTTCATCTCAAATTTCAGCTATGCAAGTAGCTGAAATTTATTTCCATCATCACATCATTGAACATCCGAAACTTGATATAAAATAAAAATATTTTCAATTCATTCATGAGCAAATACTTATTAAACAATGTAACTGAATGTCAAGATGTAACAACACTACTTGAGAAAGTATTCAAAAAATTTGAGCAAATGTATAAGCAAAGTACTGGAGCCAAAATAATAACAACAACATGGACAATAGAATTCATGGAATACGAAAACAATTGAAGAAACACAGCAGCTAGAACGAAGATTAAGATGTATGTAATTACAGTCAAGTTTCCGTACTCCTGAAGTATGTGTACCAAGAACTGAGGACACCGGAACGTAGTATGTGTACCACGTTAGGGTTAAGCCAAAATTTTATTTCTTTTCCCTTATTTTAGATCTATTACGAGTTCAGGGACTAACCAAGTGAATTTTGTAGTATTTGTACCTAAAAGTATGGCCTAACCTGGTACACATACTATGTTCCGTTGTCCGTCATCTTGGTACACGTATTTCTGGAGTACCCAAATTGTTTTCTCAATAATCCATAGGAATACAAATTATTGTTTTAATTACTAATGTGAATAAACACTGAATATCGAGTTATGTTAATAGTGGTATTGATGTTTTTTAAGGCTTTGGGAGTGGTTCTTAGCTGGAGTAAAATAGCAATTTAGGTTCTATCACGTGGACATTGCTACATATATTCATTTACCTTTGATGCATTTCAATCAACTGGAGCACCGATGGATTCCCAGCCCCGCGACCTGCAAAGTATGCATCTTTAAAACTGAAAATCTTTTGGCGATTTATTCAATATTTAGGGTGAGGCCTCAAGCCACGAAAAATTTATATGTATGATATAGTAAAACAATTTAGAAGATTTTTATCTTACACTTAAAGGTGTAAGATAAAAATCCTAGCAACTTAAAATCCTAGCAACAGATGCAGGAAGAACCTACAAAAAAAATTTCCCCGGTTCATCTGTTATTAATGACCTGAATACTGTTGGTAATTTTAGAAATAATAATCATGTTTCAAGTATTTAAATACTCAATAGGAGATAGATCTAATAGGAAAATACAAATGAATTAATACCCAAAACAATTCTTTGTGCTATACCTGTGCTTAATATTTAACAGACATTTTTATCAAGCTATTGAGTTAAACATGTTGGTCTGTTAGTTTACATGGCTGTTTCAAATGTTATTTTCAGACATATCTTCATAAATTCCCTCTAGATGTGTTTCCATGCCAAAACCCCATCTGGTGACAGCAAATAATTCTTCGAAAGTGAGTTTCGAGACGCCTGCAAAAATTTATATTTTAGTTACGATATTTTGAAATAAATTGCGCACAACGATTGAACCTTGTCTACCATCTAAGCATGTATGTGTTTATATATAAGTATAACAGCCACTTTGACAAAGTATTATTTGAAACAAAAATGTGAATACCCCACAAAA